CTAAAACGATAATGATGTTTGGAAAGATTTGTCAAATGGTGACGTCATATTGGACAAACGTTGTTATAAAAGGAAGGACAAAACTAACGAATAAAGAAACTAAGAGAAGAGAGAAAAGACAGAAAAGGAAAAAGAGAGAAAAGTAGAAAAAGAGAAAAGTAGAAAACGTAGACAAAGAACGAAAAACTAGTTAAACATGACTTAAAAGAAAGCAAAGGTTATCTCATGATATCCGAGTGATCAACAAGCTAGTCTTGCAGACCGTTATTATAGCAGCAAGTCTGATCCTCAGTTGGCGCCTTATATTTGCGTCTTTATGCCAGAATAATTAAGGACACCTTGCTGTGGAATACTGGTTATTAATATTGTCTTGCAGACGTTAAAATTGCAGTCCTTTTGTTCTCTATAACCTTCGAAGATACAAAGCCAAAATCGTTTAGCCGTGATGCAGTGGTTATCCAAATCGTCTAGCAAGCCAAAAAATGTAGGTGGCAGTTCGATCTTCCTTCGATACCCGATACTTGTAGCCTAATGCTAGACTATTTTAAGTCACCTTTCTGTGTTGTCTTAGAGAGACAAACTTACGAACAAGTATGACAATAATAAGTTCATTTCTCACCTTGTGCTTTACACTCCTGGCCTTGTGCACTATTAAATATTTTGAGTCCTTCGAGGTTGGACAATGGGACGGAAGCTGGCCTTGCAGACTATTATTTCTATAGTGAATTAGGTCCTCACTGGGTACTCTGCACTTGACTGAACCGAACATTGTAAATAATAACGGCGTTTTTTTTTTTTTTGTTTTGTTTTTTATTAATCTCTATTATATTTCTGTTTGAATTTCCGGGACAAGGATTTATTATTTACAATATTTACACGCGGACTATGGTCCTCATTTTTGTTGTTGTTATCACAACGTTTCTGCTTTTTTCATCAGGTGTATGAGGATCCGGGTTTCAGTTCAGAATCTCCTGTAGGTTACCCGGATCGACATACACCTGATGAAGGCCGGAGGGCACTGCAGCTGAAACGTTTTGTTAGCAACAACAAAAATAAGGATTTTATTTTACTGTTTAGATGAAGCAGTCAACCATTCTTGTTCTTATTGATTTTTGACGAGAATCTTTCACCCTAATTATGAAGTTGCTTCTTGTTCCAAACTCATACAAGCCATCAAGCTACGGCAATGAATAGATTGCGCTAATCGTATGAAAGGATAAGCTGTCAGTGAGACTCAAAATCACGTCTCTTTGTCCTGTGGGGAACGGTTAAATGTGCCAACTGCTCATCTCAACTGAGCTACCAGAACACAATGGTATTGCGAAGATCAAATTTAACCTTTAAATGCACCTAAGTTCACGATCTTTTATGTCGTCATATTTGTATTTATTTATTATTATTTTTTTTTTTACACGAGGATAATTAACTCAAAATTCTGAGCGAGTCTATTGCGTTCATTTTTGCACAAATGCGCTTGGGAAAGGCATGACACCATCTCTTTCCCTCACAGTATTTGGATTAAATGACAGGGTAGAAGGAAAACTCTGAATTCCAAAACGGGGAGAAACTAACGGGAAACTACTCCACTATCTTTCCCAAGAATGAATGACAATCCACAGATGATAAAGATAAATCTGTGGAGACACAATCGCTTACATTCTGAAGGGATAAGTAACATTAATAGCAGAAGTATTATGTTTCGTTTAATTTTTTAGATGGAGTGAGACGTAATGTGAGACAAAGTAAAAAGTATGTGAATGATATTTACCGTGTCTCTCCACTGAGATGTGATGTGACACAAGGTCACGTTTATTGTGGGGAACCTGAGCGCGTACATTCGGACCAAGGACCAAAATTTCCCGCAACCGTCAGTTACGCTGGCCTCTGTGGTGAGCATCGATACCTTTCTCTAGTGCCATGAGAGGGTGCAGCCTCGGGCAGTTGTTTTGCCAAGGCTGGGCACCTCACAGTATAATTTTCCTCAGTTGCTCCCCTGTTCGACGGAGCCACACCGAGACTCAAATGAGAGATGATAAACCGTACCCGGCCAGGTAAGTATTGTAAGTGAATATGAATCTCACCGAGTACTTATCTTTTATGTTTATTCTTGTGCTCTCTACTCAGCCATCGAGCCCAAGTTACAATAAAAAGTAACTATAAAAATCAAGATGGATGAAAATAATACAGAGTGTCTCAAAAATGTATACACACTTTTACAGTGTATAGCTCAAGTCAATTTGCTTTCTTTTCAGATTTACACATTAGTACTACTAAGGTCATCCAGGTTTAATTTTGAACAAAGAAAGTTAATCCTGAAATGGCACTGGAGGTGCGAAAATGAAATTTGAAGGCGGTATCGAAGAGGGTTTCATTCAGATCCACCCACACATCTTACAATCTTACGAATTAGAGATAAGTTTGAAGCTGATGGTACTGTACACGGTGTGCAAAAGAACATTCCGGAAGACCACGGATAACAACAAGCGCCGTGGAGCAAGAAAGAGAGATAGAAGTTTTCATAGAAGTCCAAGAAACCTATCAAAATGTTGATTGCTGCTTGTGATTCCATTGCGTCATGTTGTCAGCAATGTCTGGACATCATTTTGAAAAAATGCAATGACAATCTTAAAAGCATACATTTATAATATATACTGTCTTCATATGTATTATTGAAATTAGATATAATTGATTCTAGTTGCTTGAATTATTTCTTGAAGTTTCAAAATATGTATTCATGTTTCAAGACACCCAGTAGTAAAAAATTAATAATATTAAATAATTTTTAATAATGTTGTGGGTTTGATCTTCAGAAAGCATTCCACACTTATAGCCTTGTGCGAAAGTTAAATTTAATAAATCATTTTTCAATAACTAATGAGTTTGATTCTCACTGTGTGTCGTCTATTGTAGTTTTGTGCCAGATGAAGCTAAGCTGAACTTTTCGATTGACAACATGAAGGTAAGAATGAAAATAAAGAGAAAGAATGGAAGAAAGAATGAAAACAGAAAGGAATACAAAAAAAAAATAGATGGAAATGATAAAGAAATGAAAGAAGAAGAATGCGAATGTTGAAGAAAAAAAATGAAATTGGATTACAATGGATTTGACGAGGCGAACGGGAAAAAACTTGGTAATATGTGAAAAAAACAAAAAAAACACAATGGCGTCTGCAGAAGAAACATTAAAAATAACACTAAAAATTCAATGTTATATCTTTAAAAAAAAAAAAAAAAAAGCGATAAAGAGAGAGGGAGAAAAGGAAAAAAAATCCGCATCTAGATAAAAAGTACGAAAAAAATCAATAAAAAAAATAAACACTAAAGCGGACCAATAAGCCTATAGCCTGACACATTTATGAGCAGAATTTTGATCTGAATATGTCACTGTATAATGTTCGATCTAGATGACTAATAGAAAAGCACTGGGTTAAGTGTAGTGATAACGAATAAGATTATGTTGAAAAATAAATATTTGTTGTTTAAAATAAATGCTTTTTTAAAATTATCAGACTATAGACTTATTGGTGTATCGACATAAATAAAATAAATAAAAAACAAACAGGAATTTTTTTCCGTCGAAAATACCATACGGATCGCAACAAAAATAAAATAGCATTAAAAAATGTTCGAATGCGCTAACACTTTCTTGAAAATCGATGAAAATTTGACTTAAAAAATATAGTAACAGAAGGCATAATTTTGATATTTTTTTCACAAAAATTGTAAAGGAAATGTACATTTTGATTGGTCCTCCATTTGGTTTCTTAGATTTTTTTAAGTTATACATTTGCATATATTTATCTGTCTTGGTCGTGCCATATTGCAAATCTATCGACGCCGCTCCACGCTCAACAAACGTTCATTACATTAAGAAATTTGAATCTTCCTTTCTATGTGCCGTGTCCCTTCAGGACGTAGGCGATCATGGCTCCCCCATAATTCCCTGTTCTTCGTAACTCTTAATAAATTTTGTCTTTTTGTAATTTTTCCTAAACTGTTCCAGCATCCATTTACTTAAGCTCACTAAATAGTTTATGCGTAGTTTTCGTTTATCATTGTTTTCAATCTATCCTGTAAGTATCAGAATTTCCAAGCCCCCTTTCCTCATTATGTGCCCTAGAAATTTCAATTGGCTTTTCCTTGTGTTAAATAAAAATTTCCTTTTTGTTTCTATTTTCGCTAAAACTTCGTCGTTGCTCACACGTTCGGTCCATTATATCCTCAGCATCCTTCTGCAGAACCACATTTCTGTTGCTTCAAGTCTCTTCTTCATCTGCGAGGAGATTGTCCAGTATTCACTGCCATATAGGAGAGACTTACTCTTTTTTTTTTGAAAAAAAAACGTAAATTAGATTAAAATTTATCGTATATAAAGCCATCAGGAAAGATAGATTTAATTGTTTACGAAAAATAAGTATTCAAATTATACACATCTACATACAGACAGATTATATAAGCCGTTCTATGAGAGGTGACTTTTGATTATCGGATAAGTAGAACGCTCGCCATGTCCGACATACGTCGGATATATGACAGCACTAATATAAAATCTAATTAATCTATTGGAGAGATTTTTAGGCTTAGTCAACATTCTATTTTCTAACTTAGAGACGGTATCCAGCTGATGGTTACTATCTTCAGATGAGGCAGGTTAATTATGCATTACCTAACACTAAAAAAGGACCATGTATCACATTTAGCCTTTGTCGTGTAGCAAATACTTATCGCTGTTAGACACTCATAATTATAGACTGGAATACACACAAACAAAGTTGAAAGTGGCCACCTTGACTAGGAGTTATCCTTGCAGGGCATTAATATTGTATAATGAATCTGAGTTTGAATGTGGTATTGTACCAGACTAAAGTAAGATTAAATAACTGTCGCCTCTCTTTGGGTAGTGGTTAGTGATCTATCATTAAAAGTATGTAGTAATGTCGATCTTCATGGTGTTCCCCAACATGGTTTAAATAATATTACTAACAAAATCATTATCTTACTTGTTTCTCTGAAGAATCGAATATTCGCGAGAGACTGCCATCATTAGTCACTGACGATTGGCTCTTCTGTAAAAGAAAGATGACAAAAAGATACTAAACCAATTTAACATCTGTTATAAAGAACAAAGATATCATTTTTAAAACCTATAAAGACAACATAAAATCTTGATAATTTTTTTAAAAAGAAGAGAAAATCAACATTGTGGGCATGACAAAGTGTGTTTGCCTAATTTTTTTGTTGTACTTTTCCAATTTACGAATAATATGTTGTGCATTGAGATAAAAAATATGGATAAACTATCCGAAGATCATGTTTTGTTCTGTTTGAACTGTAAGGTAGACAAGATTTTGTTGGGTATATCTTGGTGATTTTTTTGTTTTGTTTGTTTTTTTCATAGTCGTGGAATTGTAATTAATTTTGATCCTGATGTAGATGTATTCGAAAATTGGAAAATGCAACAAAAAATTGAACAAAACTTTTTATATACAACACGTACTCCGACCTGATACAGAACGCAAAACAAGGTCGCTTCTTCTACAATTGGCATTTCCCGCCCAAAGAAAAGCAAACGTTTCCTCGACGCAGACATCAACGTGTATTCCTGATCCTGCTCCTTTTACTGAAATATTGTCTATGGAGCAAATCATTCAGTCACCAAATTACTGTTGGAATCTGTGGCGGGGAGGGGGCGGTTAACAGGGCCTCGAAAATAGTAGTTTACATTGCACGCACGTAGATCGCCTTTGGATGTTCATTTTCCTCTCCATCTTACATTAAACAGGATCTACTGGTATATATGGTACGGGCAGCAGGGAGTAATTCTCGATATATTGGGAGAGGTAGATTCATGCCTTTCTCAACAGCATTCTTGTAAAATTAACACCAACTACCACGCTAGCAATTTGAACTCGGTCAGTTTATTCCGATTTTCAAGCTTGTTAACCATAACGCCAACAGCACTTTGTTGGATTTTCCCTGATATTTTCTAACTCAGTAAACATTTGCAAAATAAGGATGGTAGGGTAAAATGTTATTGGCTTGACCCATTTCCCCAAAATTTGACCAAATGATGAAACATCACATGTTTTTTTTTAATCCTTTCTAAATCGGTCTAAGTATTTTTTTCCGCACGCCTCGCCATTGTGTGTATATAGATATACACTCACCAGTAATAGCTTTCCGTATTATATTGTTGATGAACAAATATACTTTTAAGGAAGATTAATAAAACTTATAACAGAATAAAAACAACAACAGTAGTAACACTATTATAATCAGATGCATTCAAATTACAATCATGATGAAACATTTAAAATCCGCAGATAGTAACAAAAAGCCTAAAATTCATGATCTATTATAAAAATTAGAAACTTTCAACTTAGCTGTAGATAAGAAAACGTCATTAAAATCAAATCGTCTGTGTAAGACCAAAATGTTGTTGAGAAATTCAATTGTCCTATTGAGACTATCTCTGAAATTAAAAAAAAATCTTATATAGAAAATATAAACACAACACTTTCTCATAGACTCAGTTGTCACAATTGCCATCAAAGTACTCTACAGAAACACATGATACAGAAAAAATACAATTAGACAGCTACTTGTCAATGACAGAATACTCAGCAAAACAGACTATAACAATATTACAAATTTAAAAGGCATCTATATTAAGTCAAAATCAATAACCAAAATCGTTTATGACGCTGACATAGGCATTCTAAAATCTATTTAAATTTTCAGTATCCGTACAACGTCACGTTCACGTGACACCATAAAGTTTCAAGTCTGAAAAATAATATTACGGCCACGTGACATCCTAAAACATTCAAATCTTAAAATTTAGAAAGCATCAAAAAGATGTAAACGGACTGAATTTTATGTAATTTCTTTTATTCTCTTTAATTAACAAAGCCAAGCGAAAGATGGGTACCTTAAAAAAAAACAATGAACAGTTCTTACGCTTCAACATCAAAATACGGAAAATAAGCCGCCAGCAAGAAAGATTGATTAAAAATATGACTTGTCCGTTATCTTCAAGAAAACTTGTTTGAACACACGCAAACACATTCACAATTACTAAAAGGATTCATTGTATATATAAATTCAGTAAGAAAAAAAAAAGACTACGGAGCTGTCACGTGACATCTGTCCTCCTTTACGGCAGCGAATATTGGACGATTTCCTCAAAGATGAAGAAGAGACTCGAGGCGACAGAGATGTGGTTCTACAGAAGGATGCTAAGGATGTCATGGATCGTGCGTATGAGCAACGATGAGGTCTTAGAGAGGATGCAAACAAGAAAGAGGCTTATGCTTAACACCAGGAAGAGGCAGCGGAAGTTTCTGGATGACATAATGAGGAAGGAGGGTCTGGAGAATCTGATACTCACGTGTCAAATAGAGGGAAAGAGAGACAAGGGAAAACAACGAATGATATATCTAGCGGACTTAAGCAAGTGATTGACAGGACGTTGTCTGGGGGAGGTAGCACAAGGAAGGAACTTGTTGAGAGCTGCAAGGGATAGAGAGCCATGACCACGTACGTCCTGAAAGGACATGGCACATAAAAAGAAAAAGAATGATGAAAATAATTTATAAGCGATTCAGTTCATTTTAGATGACAGGAAAGACTTTTCACTGTGGCAGGCGCAATCCTGTGTTATGAGGTCAATTATTATGGTTACTCTTTAAGATTGATGTGATAGAGACAATCGTTCAGATTTCATTTTGAATTGTCTGTTATTTCGACGTCCATATTTTGTATACAATTATTGTTGTTATTTTTATTTTATTCTTTTTAATTTCGTCTGAATTCCGTTTTTTTTTGGTCTGAAAGCCATAATTTATTTATTTTTAACTTTTTTCCCCCCTTTAATTTTCCTCGTCGTTTGCTACTTTCTTCCTTTCTTGTGAGATTTGTCAGCAATTTATTTCTTTTTAATTCGTTCAAATAAAGTGCTGCCTTTTTTTCAACATTATTCCTTTCTTCCTTTTAACCTTTCTTCTTTTGTCTCTTCTTATAATGTTTATATTCTCTGTTGCCTTTCAATTTTCGCCTATTCATCATCGCATATATATTTAAAATGGATTTACATAAAATACATTTAAAGCTCTCAGACAGTCGTGACAACATAGTAGTGAGAGATTCTGCGTCTTAGAACTTGTTCGCTCTCAAGAATTATTTATGACACACACACACACATATATATATATATATATATATATATATATATATATACTCTCAGAGACACACACTAGTTGTTTAATGTAAGCCGTAACATTATAAGTAGGATTTTATAAATGAGTACATGAAAACTATCATTTGCTGTCGAACAAAGAGTAAAACCAAGTAAGAAAATATGGTGAAAATTATTTCACTACTAATTCATTTGTAGCGTCAAAAATGATGGCAATATTTAAGTAATTTTACAATTTCACCATTTATATTATCTACATGAAAAATGTAGGACATTCTTTCGCTACAATTCACTCCCCGGTCTTTTGAACAGGAGTAGAGGGTTTATCCCTTGTTTCCGAGTTAGTATTGTTTCCGGTTCCTTCTAAAGTCTTTTCATTCTCTTACACTCCCAGTAGCTCCTTGCATCTTAGTGACATTATCGCCTTACTTGAATGAATTGTTTAAAAAAAAAAAAAAAAAAAAAATATTGTCGCAGATAAGGATCCATAAGTTTTCAATGGATATACTCTCTAATGCCCTTAGAAAACGCATGAATATCTTCAACCAACTAGAGGTAAAATAGTAGTGCAGACTGGGATTTTTACCTTGATTGACAGCCAGCCTAGGAGAAGGAAGACTAAATTTAATCACTCTGTATTTTTGAAAAAAAAAAAAAAAAAAAAAAAAGCTGCTTTACACTTCACAAATCCAGTTGGAACCCATAAGGCGGATAAATGGCGATTTCTATTAGACTATCAGCACCCCTGAGAGGCAGATCTTAACATATGGACAAAGCACAATCTCCAAACATCTATAAACATCACCTCCCGAGAAGGATGAATGCCAACGCAACATAGCACTTTGAAGAAATAATTCTGTTTTCTTACATCATTAAATGTAAGAATATACATAGAACGCTATGATTAAACAGCAAGAAATAAAAAGCAATGTATTAGCAATAGGTTCTCCTTATTAATGTGATATTCCATTTCTATGGTAATATAAAGAGCGTTCGTTTAATGACATCGAATAGTACTTTTACCATTACCAATATGTCATTAGTGATTAGACGAGATCAGCTCTATTACTACACTAGCCGAGTATTAGGGGATCCTATACGATACATTGTCCAATGACTTTTGACACGTCAGTGTATATGTACTTTTTCCCATTATAATAATTTTTTTACTAGTTTTTCTCCATTTTATAATTGTTGCTTTTATCACAACACTCCTAGTCGATTACTTTTCATTATTATTTTACTACGACTTTTACTCCATCTTATTGATGGTTTTGTTATAGCACAGCGGGTCTATACAGCGCGAAAATCAGGAAAAAAAATATTAAATTCGCACACCACTACATGGGAGTCCATTTTTCATGGATGTCGGTTTCACCGCTTTGGTCACGAAAGATTCGATAATAAAACGGAACATAAATCTGCAGTAAAATTGTGCTGCTTTTACTGCCATTATTTCATAATCACGCGCCTGAAGAAGATTTCGTCCCAAGTGTTGCGAAAAAATACAACAATAAGATGAGATAATACTACACTAATAATAATAATAATAATAATAATAATAATAATAATAATAATGAGGATATTTGACGTAAAAATTTTAATAAATAACTTTCTTACTTTTCTTAAACAGTGAAATTAATAGCAACTGGTCAAGATTGCGATGACTAAAGAAAAATTGCTTTTTCCGACAGGGATTGAACCTGTATTCCTTTTCTATCAGGGAAACTGCTTTTTATAAAACATCTTCATTAACAGGTTGGCCACGGAGACCAGACTGACAGTGTATGGTTTGAATTACTTATTTAACGACTTGTACGAATCTATATCTGCTAGCTCCTGTTTCGTGATTTTCTAAGCGTAGCTTAAATGAGGTACAAGGCCTAAAACATGGGGCATCCAGTGAGAATCGAACTCACTATTCAATCGAAACTGATCTAGCTAGACAAGCTTGCTAACTATTACGCCACGTCGAGGTGCCCAGGTGATTTTCTAAGTTTAGCTTAGATGTGGCACAAGGCCGAAAGTATAGGGCACCGACTACACTTCGAACTCGTAAGTCGGAATTGATCTAGCAAGACAAGCTTGCTAACCATTGCACCACGTCTTGTGTCTGGGATATTTTCTAAGCGTAGCTTAGCTGTGGCACATGGCACATCCAGTAGGGATCGAACTTACTATTCAGACATTATTTAGCGATCGTATCAGAAACATTAGCAATTTTTGAAAGTTTTTTTTTTTATCCGATATTAATAACATTTATAGTATAAAGAAATTTTATATGACAGAATCTTGCAGTCGGCTTATTATTTATTATGCTAAAGTTGGGTGGCCATATAGCAGAGTAGACTAAACTTTGTAACTACCATATTTGATAGCAGATTGAACTAATTTTTATAAAATTACTAAGTCATAATCCTGTAAATCGATATGCGAAGAAAAGACTTCTGTAAACAGATATTTAACCTTCCCTATCGTAGACTGAAAATAGTGTCGGAATATTTCCAGCTGAAACCAGATACTCCTCTGCCTGTTTGTCTTCCATGCCATTCGTCACAGTATTTAATCGGCCTATATAAGACAGTTTAAACGGTTTTTAGACTATTCTACAGAGTAGTAAAATGAAAAGTTAATCAAACATTACATATACTCATTTACTTAGCTTATCTTAGTCTGACACAAGGTCACAACTATGGGCCTTTCAGAGAGGAGCGAACCAACGAGGGAGAATATTTCAGATAATTTGTGTATTTCATCTTTATAAAAACGATTCCTGTTTTCATAAACTCATCGATGTATTGAGCTTTGGGAAGTGCAATTAGACAAGAAATGTTGCATGCATGTGATAGTCTAAAAAGGTGAGAGGTAAGAATTTGCCATATGTGGAAGACCTTCCCATACCAACTACATACTGTGTAGTAGATATTTACTTGACCCCCCTCCCGAGTCAGTTTGTGACACGAGGTCGGTTTTTAACGTGGGAACCCTGGTCATAGCTTGTCCAGGCTGGTCTAAGCTAGTCATAGCTTGTCCTAGCTGGTCCAGGCCGGAGCCGGTCCAAGATAGTCGTAGCCGTGATACCACCAGCCCGGGGACGAGCCCTGTGCCAGGTAAGTATACTGTGTAGTATTTACAATGTGAGATTTGTCGTACAAAAAAATAAATCACCGATTGACTTCTTTGCTCAAAAGAAGGTCTTTTCTTTTCCAATGCGTCAAACGAGTCAGTTTCTTACTCTATCGTTGAGCAATAATACTTTTTCGATGCTTAATTAGATCATAATAAAAAATATTTTTTGAATTATTTTAGATAGAGATTTTCGTTAAGTAGATCCCATTTTAGGTGGGAGGTTGAAGGACGTTTTGGATCACGTCTGAATTTCACCGTAGGCTTATAAAACCACTTGCTAGAGATGATAATAAATCAATTATAAGGCCGAAGGACTTCAAGAACTCTTCTATGATTTCCCTTACATTGTGCGAAAGATGGCACCAGAAATTTGTGTAGCGGTTTAACATTTGACAAAGCTTAGTAAAGTTTCTTTCGTGGTGTACCCAGTAAAGATTGAACTCGTTACACTTGTAAAATGGTTTGTTATACGTGCTTGCTAACCAGAGCGCCATGACGCGTATCACGATATACTGTTACAGGATTACCCACACAGCACAGAAACAGATGCAACGTGGTTACGAGGATAAATTGAGAACGGGTTCTTTCATTTCAATGGGCCGCCTAAATATAGAATCCAAAAGAGTGATGGAATCGGCGTCAAGTCTTTGAGTAGGAGAGTAGATTCAACGTCTCAATGCCAGAGTCTGCGGCTGGGCTACCTGTCGAAACGCTTGTCTAAATCAGTCAAGGTCATGCAAACGCTTCTTGCTACGACCTTGCTTCTTTCTCAACAGACGCCGGCTCGTTTATGTATAAAGGTTGCATTGCAGATGATACTTGAAGCGTCAGAATGGGAGATTGGAAGAAGAAAAAAACGAAAGAAAAGTGAAGCACTGAAGGAAAGAAGTACACATCTTAACCAACAGTTTGGGTAGTTGTTAAACGAGCACAAGGACACAATAATGGGGCACTCAGTGAGGACAGAACTCATCAATAATGACTCAATAGACATGATTCTTCGACATAATAGATATTTACTAAGCTTAACTTTTTCAGGCATATCTTTACATAGGTAGAAATAGGTTCAAATGGAGACTGGCTGCTTGTTTTCAAAGTATGTATTTTAGTTCGAACAACGGCCATTAGTGCTAGCTAGTTAATAACTAAACTTAGATTTTCATGGCACAAGGCCTACATAATGAAGCACCTAAGAGACAATTTCTACCCTAGCATGGCTTGCTTGCAAACTGTAACCTTATGGCAAGCGCTTTCGATGTACCTTTACAGTTATTTATTTTTAAAAATTACTATGCTTAGTATGGACACGGATTTCAGGCGCCAAGCTCCATGGGAGACTAAGACTGGCTTGTTAACCGTTACTTCATGGCAAGATGTCCATGTGCACAGTTAAATGACTTATTAGGTTTGTGTAAAAATTTCTAGCAAAAAATCAGGCACTAGTTTTCCAAAAAGTGCCCGAGGAATTTCTCACATGCGTTATAAGAATAATAAAGAGGAAAGAAAAGAAAGGGGAAAAGAAACAGAAAAATAAAAGAAGGTAAATGAAAGAGAGGAATATAATATAAAAAGAAAAAGACAAAAAACAAAGAAAATTCGGAAAGAAAAATAGGGTGACAAAAAAGAAAAGAGAAAAAACAAAATGAAAAAAAAGAGAGAAAAATGAAGAAAGAGAGAAAGAAACGAAGAAAACAATAGAGAAACGAAGAGAGAAAGAGGGAGAAACGTAGAGAGAGAGAGAGAAAAAAAACGAAGAGAGAGAAAAAAAAAGAGAGAGAGAGAGAAACGAAGAGAGAGAGAGAAAAATGAGAGAGACAGAGAAACGAAGAAAGAAAAAGAAAATGAAGAAAGAGAAAAATGAAGAGAAAAAAGAATGTAAGAAATGAGATGAGGCTAAGAAAAGAAGAGATTAAAAATGAAGGAATAAAAAAAGAAAAAGGAGAATTTAAAGAATGAAAAAGAAAGAAAGGAAAAGGAAAGGTTAAATATGATAAAATGCAGATGACATCATGAGAAAAAAAACCCCAAAAAACAGAAATGTCGATATAGAATTCTGAAAAATCTATGTTCATTTGTGCGTTGAATATATTTAAGTCTATGGAGTTGAATGAATTAAGATGAGATTTTGTCTAGAGCGACATTTGCCAGTGGGGTCTGCTTGCAAGGTACAAGTGCGTGACATTGCAAGATGGTAGACATAACCTGAGAGGGGGGAAAAAAAAATCAATGAAAACAAGAATAGAGAGAAAGAAAGAAAGATGAGAACAAGAGGGAAGACTAATTAAGAAAAAGAGAGTAAAATAGAAAATAGCACGACGAAGAGTAGAAAAAAGACAAAAAAAAATGATAGAAAGACAAAGTGGAGAAGTGGAAAAAGAAACAGTGGTTGAGAAAATGACATAAACTTTGCAGAAAGATAATCTGAGAGAAGACCAATGAATGTTCTGGCAAATAAAGGAAAATAAAAGCTACATTAGATACAGAATATTATTATTAAGACAGTCATTGCTAACAAGCAATGACTATCTTAATTCGTGACCATTGATAATACGTTTAATTTCATTTTCAGTGCATTTATGAAACAGTCATTAACAGGGCATTCAAATTATACCTACAATAGCCCTATTCTCTCAATAATACTTGCCTTATTTTCCTATCACTGACATTCCCTTACTTCCTGATTTACCATGAATTTTTTAATAAACCCAAAAGGAATGTATTTTGAATATATGAAATGTGCTTAAAAGTTCACGGTCCGACCGACATCCTAATATATGATCAAAGATCGCTTTTTAAACCACTCTTTGGTTAGGCCGAGAACTTTCAGCAAACCCTTTTACATATAATAGCCCTATTCAGTCAGTAATACTTGCATTAATTCCTGACCCCTGACAATCCCTTTCCTTTATTTACAGTTCATTACTATAGCCACACGTCAATTTAGTGAATTCGATCCTCACTAGAGTGTCCTACACTTGTGGCGTTATGCCAAACTACAAAAAAGAGCGCTTATACTTAACATCAGAAAGAGACAATTGAAAATTCTAGGGCACATAACGTGGAAAGCGGGCTTAGATAATTTGACACTCACAGGAGAGACTGAAGGCAAGAGGAACAGAAAAATGCAGTATATGACCTACCTAATGAGATTGTGTAAATGGTTGGCAGAACAAGGCTTAGGAGAGATAGCAAAAAGACGAAATTTACCAAGAGCTCCAAAAGGACATGAAATTGTGGAAAGCCATGATCGCCAAAGTCTTTACAGGGGCACGGCGCATAGAAGAAGACTGAATAAATATTATTTGGACACCTGACGTAGTGTTCTGGTTAGTAAGCTTGTCTCGCGTGTGAATTCGTTAGTATAGTGAATTCGATGCTTACTATATGCCCTACTACTTCGTATAAGCTTTAATCAGCCTTAAATAGGTATAACGTTAGAAAGTAACCTTTAAGGAATATATACAAATGAAATAAAACAGCAAAAGAAGTCATTAATCATTGATTAATTTATTGATATTTACAAAAATCTCTAGCACACCATACATGTAGGACACACAGTGAGAATCAATCTCTATGGTAATGATAACGATTTAGCTTAGTAACCAGTGATACATGTGTCGTGTAGCCTCTAAAAAAAAATAAAATCCCTTAAACAGGGAAAGAAAATTGTCGAATGTTATCTTTCTGTAAATATCAAAACTTTTGATGTAACATTTTTAGATGCTAAACGACACATGCATCACTGGTTACTAAGCTAAATCGTTATCATTACTATAGAGATTGGTTCTCACTGTGTGTCCTACATGTATGGCGTGTTAAAGCTTTTAATAAATATCAATAAATTGAGGACACCTTGCCATAGAACAATGGTCACTAAACGAATCTGAGAATATTATTATTGTAGTAACTTCGATCCTCACTGAGTGCATCGCACTTAAACCATACGATGTTTAGTAAATATCAAGTAGATACCGTGCCGTGGAGTAAATATCACACAGTGTCGAAGATCATTATGGCAGTAGAGAGTTCGAACCTCAGTCTTCAGTAAGGCAATCCTAAGAGAAGTCCTACCAGGAATTATTATTAGCGGGCTCGATCTTAACAATATAAGATACACAGAAGACATCATGTTGATGGCAAACACTTAAGGAAATTTTCAGGAACTCCTAGACAAGGTAGTAAAGGAAAAGTAGGAAGAAACGACTAACCATCAATTGTAAGAAAACAATGTATGGTTGTCAGTAAGAGGAACAGCCCAAGATGCCAGTTAGTAATTGGAGATGTCAACATTAAAAAAAAAAATATTTGGGAAGTGTTTTAACAGATAGCATTAATTGAGATACCGAAATTCGAAGGCACAAAAGCGAAAGATGCCTTTGAAAAGCTAAAGAAATTATTAAGAAATAGGAAAATTTCGTTAGAAACAAAAAAAAAATAAATAAAAATGAGAGCAGAACTGCTATATCAATCCTATAATTTCCTCACAGATAAAAGGGAGACGTGAGGAATACAGATGTAGTTCTACAGAAGGATGCTGAGAATACTATGGGTGTAACATATAAGCAACAGGGAAGTTTTAAGGAAAATGGAAACAAAAAGGAGACTTATACTTAGAATCAGAAAGAGACATTTGAAATTTCTAGGACACAAAGTGAAGAAAGAGTGTTTGGAGAATATGACACTCACAATTCATATTGAAGGCAAGAGAAGTAAATGGGAACATCGTTCAATCTACCTAACGACTTTGACAGAACAGGGAGTGGATGAGATGAAGAGATAAACATTGCTGAGCTGCAAAAGATAGGAAACTGTGAAGAGCCATGATCACCTGAACGGACACGGCACATAGAAGAAGAGGAAAACCACAATTGTTAACATGTGCTGTACTTAGCTGCAGTGTATCAAATATTTATAGTAGACTAAGCTTAGCAAATACCAAAGGTGTTTTACCTTTCAGTTAAGTAGCATTGGTGCGGGATTCTATCAACAAATTTTAGCTTTGAGAATAGTTCTTGGAAGGAATCAGTAGAAAGGTAATGGATATCTGAGAAAAAAAAGGGGGTTAAATGTTGAGTACCTCAACTCCGAAACAGTTTATTTGTTTTATTCCCCAAATTTTTTCCTCTACTTATTTTTTTTTATCCTTATTTTATTTTAAATATCTTTATTGCTAACCTGTCGGTAATGGTTGTCGTTAATTCTTCAGAGTTAGAAGTTTCGTTTTTCACCTGTCTTACCTGCCACGGGCGGGATTTCTTCATACCTTTAGCACCGTACACGATAAGAACAGGCGTGTCTACTTAACTGGTTAGAAAAGACGAGAAAATGTTCTTTGAATAATGTTGAGAATCCTGAAAGGCGAAGAAGGGGATGATATGATTACACAAAGGTTAGAAGGTAACTAAGTTGCAGAGAATTATGCAACTGATACATATTAAGCTAACAGTTATTTTCGGTGGTAATTACCGGAATAACGATATATCGCATCAAGTTAATCAGCGACATGTTACCACAGTGAGAAACCCAATTTTATGCTTACAGGAGAGAGATGAAAATAATTTTTTCAAGTTGAAATTTAAAAGGTTTTAAATCTGTTTACGCAACACAATCTTCCTAATTCATTTGACTTTGTCCAAGGCCAAGCAAAGATGGATAAATATCTACAAGCAGCATTTAATCCGACAGCAACTTAAATAGATTTAATCTCATTTCCATTTTTTATCAATACATTGTACTTAAAAGATAGGTAAATGTATAATAAGTGGGTTAGTATTGTTATGATTATGAAATCTGTGCTCGGGAATTCTAGGACCAATAAAATCTGATAATCCGGTCCAAAGGCTAATCTGATAATCCGGTCCAAAGGATAATCTGATAATCAGACTTTTTTCCTGTCTGTACATTTGAGATGAGGTTATCCATTATCTTGGATTATTTTTTTCGTTTGTGTTGCTTTTTTCACTATTTCGACAATTGTAACGTCCAGACTTCGCCAGATATCTGCTACAGTTGGTAACCTTTCAGGCATGTTGACTGTAAACCATTATTTGATCTTTAGCAGTTCGTTGGTGTAATTCCTATACTTGAGTATTCTAGCCCAGACATCACCACGCTGTTGAGTTCGTGCTTAAAACGATATGCGTGTACATATTCTTCAATCAAATTCCCGACATTGTGTCACATCTTGACATTGTCGGGTGGTGAATAAATACCGCCTTTGGGCGCAAAAGAAATGTATCAGTAAATTTATTCTGGGCATGATGGATCCGCCTACAAGACATAATTCCCCCCCCATTGTGTAAAGAGGAGTTTTGTCAGGGACAGATGTCTGCTGAAAAATCAAGAGGACGAGTAATTAGGTAATCAAACCATTACAAGGAGGGTTTAACGCCATTCAGAAAAAAAAATCCGCTTTGGCTTGCACAATGCCACCTATCATAATAGCGTGAATAGCTGATGCATTTTGTCTATTGATTCTAACACTGAAGACTGATAAAAAAAAATAAACAGCATTTTTAGCAGATTCTCTACCATTGATTCCCATTCTGAGTTAGTGGTGAGGTTTAAAAACCCCAGTGATCCAAATAGATATACAGGCGCGAGTATTACCCCTGGTAAGCCGGGAAGGTTGGAGGATAGAGGGGTTAAATGAAATAAGAACCACAATAATCCATTGGATGTAATATGGTGGTTGTGCTGATTTGATCTCAGTCACAATCTCAACCTAAAAGTGAATCGCCCCCGCCGGTGGAAATGCCGAAATTTCTAGGATCACCTCATTCCCAAAATTACAATCATAGCATTAGTATTATAATGTTAGTATTACTGCTATGACTATAATATTAGTAAACATAGTGGGATGTGCCGCCGAAAGATTTATGACTTTGTAAACTACTAACTGCCATGAATTACCGGGAAGGATGGCCTCATGAATGTAAGCAAATTCAAGCAAGCTGAACCCTCTCTCACCACGTGCACACACATATATATATATATATATATATATATATATATATATATATATACAACAAACACACACATTACTTTGGGCCACCATCTGGATTGTGAAGAAATGATGGCTGTTTCCCTTTTTCAAAACTAATTTTCTAGCTCAGTTCGGGCCAAAAGGGACTTTCAGTTCCTGAAGGGTTTTATCATATATTCAGTAATTATATTAATAAATTATTATTGCATAAAGTTTCTTAAAAACTAGGTCTTTTTTTTCCTTATCTATCTTACTGGCTAGTGGTAATCTTGAGGGCGACGGGTTTTGAGTTTTAGGTAACTTTCTCTCTCTAAAAAATTGGGTTACATATTTTCATCGTTCTAGGTTAGTAGAAATGAATCAAACCAAAGACAGTATGAAACTTACTAATTAGAAAATCCAGAACGTTGCTCCCAATTGTTGACCTGTAGTATATAATATAATTTATTTGTTTAAACGTTATTTTATAAATGGATACTCATATTTGAGTGGATGCTCTGTTTCTATTTATTAATTAATTAAACAGTATATTTATTTATTTATTTACATCTACCGGCCTGAATTTGGTCTATTATATATATATATATATATATATATATATATATATATATGTGGGGTGGGTATTCAGGAAGAATATTTCCATTTAAGCATGTTTGGTTGAATAATCGGGACATATGTCTATTTATTTTTTATTTTAATCATCTACAAATTTTTTTGTAAATGCGCATGAAACGCACTCTGTTATAGCCAATTTTAAAAATTAACCGTTAAGCATATGTAAGGGAGATAATTTATATTAATTTATACGACATTTTTTTTTCTTTTCATATACATCTCTAACTATGGAACAAACAGACTACCAAAAGGATTACTCATCCTTGGACCGAACTGTCATCTCTACAGACAATACAATAGATTTGATAAAAAAAACAAAAAAAAAAACAAACTGAAATTGAAATGTTATATCAAAACCTAAAAAACTTAAAGAATTTTAAAAACAAAACCAGAAATTTGTCAGTTACTCAAAGCTGAAGCAATAAATGACAGACATGACAAAAGAAAAAAAAAACTTGACTAAGCTCCTAACAATTAGAAAGCTAAGGAGCTACATAACTATATTCATATAATTAAAAAAAACAAACAGATAAAACCAATATAAAAAGATAAATCCAATATATTTGTTGTACTAAATAATTTTGATTATAATTCGAAATTACAATAAATACTTGACAACTACATCAAATTTTAAAAAGTCAACAAAAATCCTCTTAACCAACTGAAATTGAAAATCAGCAAACTAATCACAGTCATCAACGCAGAACAAGACAATTTAAAATGTCCCCAAAATAACTGGCAACTAGAAACTAGGAAACATATATGGAACTCTAAAAATACATAAACTTAACTTCCATCTCCGTCCTATTATATTTCAAATCCCCACTGCAGTTTATCAATTAACCAAAATCATTAACCAACTCATTACACCAGACATATCTAATTAATACAGCATTAACTCACGAACTCTTCCAAATCTTAAAAACACAAAAACCAATAATGAAAGTATAGCGTTACTTAGTGTTGAAAGTTCATTTACCAATGTCACAGAAACGATTGACATAATTATAAAGAATATTTACAGCAATCCATCTCTCCCTCCATTAAAAATTAAACGGAAACTAGTCTTGACTTTTACTACTGAAGTTTCCTTCTATGACCATCAAAATAATATACACGTACAACTTTCTCAGACACATATGCATAAGAAAAGAATGGAGTATTTTATTTATGAATCAGACAGATTTTTATTACTCAAATGTTATTTTTAGTGGATACTCGTATTTGAGTAGACGCTCCATTTATTTATTAAACAGTTTATTTATTTATTTTTCGTCTACCGAATATTCAGGAAATCTTATTAGAAAAATATGCGCTCTCCGACAGGATTTGAACCTGCATTCCCCTAGGGGAAACCATCATTATATCTGACATGCTTTGACCTCACGGCTGTTGAGCGCATCGATGGTCAGGCAGAGTCTGGATAGTGCCATTAAACACAATTTTTTCTCCAACTCTCGAAATAAACACATCTGCTCCGTAGCCAAGATGTCAAAGCGCATCAGATCTGCTCCGTAAGCCGAGAAGCTGACAACAATCAAATGAAGACATTTAGAAAAACAAAACCAAGCAAAAAAATAAATAAATAAATAAATAAATAAATAATAAAAAAAGGAAAACAAAAGCAAATTATATGCAATGAAATACGGGAGTTCACCAATTTTCCCAAAATATTATTTACTCCAGTTGGTTAAATCATATTGATGTGTGGCATCCACATGTGTCAAACGAAAAAAAAAACTATTAGATCTTATTTCTGTTTACGATATTTGAAGAAAGAAATGTGACTTACAATGCAAAAAAGTTACCTTACTACAAAGTGAAACAAGAAATCGTGGGCCAAGTGAAACGAATCATGACCAATCATACAAAAAGCCGACACACACACACACACACACACACATATATATATATATATATATATATAAAAGCGTGTGTGTATTTATTCCCATTACACTGAATAAGGCCATGTATATACCTTAAAGTCTACAGAAAATATCGATAAATGCCGTTATTTCTGCCAACTACTCACATTAAAAAGCCCCTGTGTCATAAGTTACATCTGTGACTATGAAATATAGTTACCGTAAAAATCATACCTATCAAATTCTAAGCTGGCGATCATTAAACAGGTAATTAATAAATCTTTCAAACGGATTGCGACAAGACTGTAACACAAATGAAACATGATTCCTGACAGACAATAGCGGCGGAACGTAAGAATACAAGTGAATCGTGTTACAATGTAAGTCGATAGCACCAAAGGCATCCGATCACAATAGACTTCCTCGACAGTTAAATAGAAACAGAAAGTCTGCACTTTTTTGTACCGGATAGAAATCCTTAGAGAATCCAGAAGTATATCATTCTGGTTTAATAAATGTGTACATACTTGTGTTGGATTATATTTTGCTTTACTGTGATATGTACGAAGCAGAGTAAATGCTTACGAAAACCATCGACGAGAAGCAAATTTATGCAAACCTTTAGTAGTAAAGCTGATTAGAATAATAAATATATTAGTAGGAGCCGTGAAAATTTCATGGTTTTGCTATTTGAATTTTCTTATTAATTAAGGATTGAATAAGCCATAAAATACCCGTGGAATTTCCGCAATTAAATATTTAAGTTAACAAAATATTCAAATAACAATCATAAGTA